ATATTAAACTAAAAAATCTTAGTAGGCTCTAGAACCTGACCTGAAGCCAGGATGGAGAGCTTTTATAAGATCATTTAGACAAGAGTCTAAAAGTCATTATCTACCCTGCAGAATAACTGGAAGGTCAGATGTAGGACCAAGTAATCTATACAGAAAAGTACAAGATTCATGGTGTGAATTTCTATAGCTTATATTACGTGAAGTTGGTGAGATTATTATGTCATGATGATCTTTTCAATCTTAGATCAAAGTTTCTGTGGAAAGTTTTGCTGAAACAAAACTTAAATATTCATGTTTTGTAGGAGACTCTATTATGAAAGTTATAATCGTATTTATGCCATTATTTACTAATGTACCTGCTAGCAGAGGAAGGGTAAGTATTTCAAAGAATCATACAAAATTTTAACATAAATTTTGTCAAAATCAGTGACAATTTTACTATTAAATCTTTTCAAAACATGGCAGTACTGGAGCTTAAGTGTCTCATTCCCATAGGAAAGTTTACCTTTTCTCTTAGTTGTTTCCTAGGTTTTTTCTGTAGGCAGGAAGCGTTCTCCTGAGCTGTAATTGGAGCCATTACATAGACAGTATTTTGTATTGATTACCCTTTTGCAAAGCAAGAGGATAAAATAAGGATGTGACCATGCTCTACAAAGAACGTGAATTTCTGGGATCTAAATTCAGGGTGACATGCCAACAAAGGATGTTCAGCATTCAGTTTTGAACCTTACCTCTGTGAACACTGTCCAAGTTAAAAATCTTAGCAGAAGTTATTAATGCATGAAAAGCATTAAAGCTAATTTGAGAGTGAGCAGACTAAATCTTCTAGCAATCTAAGCATATAGCCTGTGAAAAGAGTTTCAAGAGATCTCATGGAAATACTTTTTTTTTTTTTTTTCACTAGTTATAAGTATTAACTAGTTTTAATCACATGAAATCAATGTAAGTCAAAGTCTAATGAGCCAATCTATCATCTTGGTGAAGGCCCAGACTGGCTACTTAGTGTGCAAGTTCCCAATGGATGGAACAGTAGGGATGTTGCAGGGGAGGCTGTGAATTCACCGAGTGTTCATTCACACCAAACCTCCCAGGCTATTGCAGTCAGCAGCCTTGCAGCACAATAAATACTCAGCAAACAGTGGAGTGTGAAGCTGCTCTCCAGAGCATGCCTGATGCTATGTGCTAAGCAGCTTTGCTTGCAATTAAGAGTATCCAGCGTTAACTGTCCACAGGCTGGCTGTAGACATCTAGTTGGACAGCAAATGCACCATGGTATGCATTGCGCTGGTGGCGGATCTTGTTCCTGCTCGTGAACTGGTGTGGAGACCCAGCCATTTTGGATTTTATTCTCACATTACTTGCCTGCTCCATCCACACCCATTTTGGGCTTCTTTGCCCTAAACTCATCCTCACAGGGAAGAGAAGAGAGAATAAAAAAAGCATACAGATGGATCAGATAAGCATAAATTATAACTGTCTGAAAGACAAAGCCAAGAACGTTAACAGAAGTATTCAAAAAGCAAAGTGCCCTGCAAGGACTTAAGTGATTCACTGTTTTAATAGGGTCTTCATGTGGATTATAACAAGGATACTTACATTTGGATTTATACTGGCTACTTACCTTGAACAGCTCAGGCTTTAACAAGGTAAAAATATATTTGCTAGCCTTAAGCCTTCAAATATGACTCACCTGGGCTAATACGAGGCACTGGAAGTAGTCTTTCCATTGTTTATTTAGATAATTTATTTAGAGTATCTAACTGTAAACTTAAGTGTACGCTGAAGTGGAAATAATTTCTCTTTTATGATTGAACCAGCAGTTGATCCTGGGACCTCTTTTTCTCCTCATCCCTTTGTAATGAAAGTGAATTTAGAGCAAAGAGACACCAACATGTAGCTGAACAATTTTCTGTCTCAAAGGGCTTCAAGACGTGGGAGGGAGAACCCAGTTTTGCGGACCAACTATCCAGTGGCCTGCTAACTGTACCCAGTTGCCAGCTAGGATGCTAGTTGTCTCCAATACACTGACCTTTCTGTGGCAATTAAAACTGAACTGCTGAGCAATACATAAATAATCATTCACCTAGAGTATTAATCAAAATGTCTTTTAATGCATATTTCGTTCACGTGCTTTCTTACATTTAGCATTATCAATTTGCTCTGGTTAGTTAAAGCATGTATTTAATCCTGTGGAGTGCTCTGTTATTACTTATTGACTCAGCCTCAATTTGCAAACTACAAAATATACATATATAGACACAGACACATATGTAGCCTATTTTTTGGCACTTAGAGCAGAACAATCTGTGAAAATTATGTAAGTTTCTGGTCACTTTTCTATGGAAGCAAATCAAAAGTACCAGACATTAATGCTCCACATATTATAAGCCTACCTTCTAAATAACCACACCCTTTTAGGGGACAAAAATTTCCATAAAATCTGAATCTCTCCCATCATGTTTGTCAGGGAGGAAAGGACGGGAAGGTTCACTTGGCCGAGGCTGTCAAATGAGCTGGCTAAGTTCCATTAAGCAGTGTTAGTTTCATGAAGCAGTGTTAGCCGCTCTAGTCCAAAACCACGTGAAGTAAACCAGAAGCCAGGGCTCAAACAACTGGGCAGTATGAAGGAAAAAGAAAGATACAGAAATAGGGGTTCTTATACCACACTGATCATCAGCTGTATTTCTCTGGAGTATGGCTAACGTGTTAACCCAGACTGATGCTTATATATAGATCTTGCATCAGCTGGGCTTCTAATTTTTTTTTTTTTTTCTTTTCTGTGAGATAGGACATAAATTGTATCTGACAGTGGACTAGAAAAAGTCTGTTTATTCTAACAGATTCATGCTATGATTCAGTGCAAGGTCTGCTGTGAGATCCGCTAGTACAAACCAAGACAGACACCAGAACCCAGGAGAAAGAGCAAGAAAAGTCAATTTCACCTTCCACGGCATCAGTGCAAGTCTGCCTAAAGACATTTATATTAAATGTGCAAAAGCAGCTAAAGCAAATACCTATCAAGCCTGAGTATTTTAGGAAAAGTATTTTCAGACTTGCCAGGGAGTCCAGATTAAAGCAGATTCTCTTAATTAATTTCTATATACTTTTGGGTAGCAATAGTACTGTTGCACAAGTCTTTTAGCATCAGGCCCACACAGCAAGACAGACTACTTGTGTTCTAAATAAAGTGAGTCAGAGAAGATGAATTAAGGAATCTTTTCAAATTATTGTCATCTGCAAAGGAATTATTTTTTCAGAAAAATCTCCAAAAGAGGTAAGATACCCTGCTGTCAGTTCTGCAGTAAAGAATGGTCATGGTAATTTTGGAAGTTATGTTTTTAAACAAGTCCTGATTTAACTTGTTTGGTAGCTGGGGGGGACGGGGCTGCATCAGTGGCCTCTGTGAGAAGTCACCAGGAGATGTCCCCATGTTGCACAGAGCCAGTTCCAACTGGCTCCTTGTTGGACCTCCGGCTGGCCAAAGCTGAGCCTGTCAGCGAAGCTGGTGGTGTCACTGTGAGAAGGTATTTAAGAAAGGGTAACTGCTGTGTGGCAGCTGAGAGAGAGGAATGAGAAAAGGAGAGAAAAAACCCTGCAAACACCAAGGTCAGTGAAGAAGGAGGGGGAGGAGGTGCTCCAGGTGCTGGAGCAGAGATTCCCCTGCAGCCCATGGGGTAGGCCATGGTGAGGCAGGCTGTGCCCTGCAGCCCAGGGGGGTTAATGGTGGAGCAGATACCCACCTGCAGCCCAGGGGGGTTAATGGTGGAGCAGATACCCACCTGCAGCCCAGGGAGGTTAATGGTGGAGCAGATACCCACCTGCAGCCCAGGGAGGTTAATAATGGAGCAGATACTCACCCGCAGCCCGTGGAGTACCCCACGCTGGAGCAGGTGTATGGGCCTGGACTGTGTGGAGAGCTCATGCCAGAGCAGGCTTGCGGTAGGAGCTGCAGCCTGTGGAGAGGAGCCCACGCTGGAGCAGGTTTGCTGGCAGGGTTTGTGACTGACCCTGCGGGGGACCCACACCGGAGCAGTCTTTTCCTGAGGGACTGCACCCTGTGGAAAGGACCCACGCTGGAGCAGTTTGTGAAGAACTGCAGCCCGTGGGAAGGACCCAAGTTGGAATAGTTTGTGAAGGACTGCAGCCTGTGTGTGGGACCCCACGCTGGAGCACAGGAACAGTGTGAGAAGGAAAGAGTGGCAGAGATGAAGTGTTATGAACTGACCAGAACTCCCACTCCCCATCCCCTTCCCCGCTTGGTGGGGCGGAGGTAGAGGACCTGGGGTTGAATTTGAGCCTGGGAAGAAGGGAGGGGTGGAAAGGTGGGGGGGAAGGTATTTTTGTTTTTTTTTTGTTTCTCACTATCTAATTGGTGATAAATCAGTCTGTGTTGCCCGTGATGATAATTGGTGAGTGATGTCCCTGTCCTTATCTTGATGAAGAGATAAGGAGCTTTTAAATTTATTTTCCCTCCCCTTCTTGCTGAGGAGGGGGAGTGAGAGCGCGGTTGGATGGGCACTTGGCAGCCAGCCAAGGCCAACCTGCCACAGAACTATGCTGGTCACCCATTTCCAGATGTAAATCTAACAGATACATTGCACAGTCTTGCAGAAGATATATCTGCAAGTGTCACACAGTGGGTGTTCTTTCTACAACTGCTACATTACTTACAGTGCAAATTCTCCAACAAGGGTTTCTCCCCCACACTGCATACCTAATTTTTGACCAAATCAATTTGTTTACCTGCATGATGATCGTTCTAGAATCACATTGTTATTTATACATGAAAAAAAATTAAAAATAAATAATTCTGAATGCAAAATTCAGCCCTGCTAGCAATACCATAGGGTCTGCAATCAGAGATAAGAGGAAATATTTTTTTTTTTTTTCCCTGAGATGTCATCAGCTTGAAGCTTGGCGTTTCTAAAGCCCTGATCCCTTTTCATTATCTTAGAGAGGCAGTAAACAAGTTCAATTAAAACCAAACTTAAAACAATACGTCATGATTGAAGGAAAAGATTTTATTTTAGGGCTAACAAGTTGATAATAAATAAAGGAATATAATAATGTAGTAACAGATGTTCTCATGCACTTAACACATACAATAACGCTGGCTTACACTGCTGTTTGGACAAATTGAGAAGAGGTATTTGGCAATATTATAAGTTTGAACAGTTTAAAGATTATAGAACAAGAAATTATTTCTGCTGTTTTTACATTTCTTTTATACAAATTCAAATAAATAGTAATACATCTATTTTTCCTCAGATTTTCTGTTCACTCTTAACATGCCTGATAACTAAGCCACAGTAATATACAACTGCCAAGAAAGAGTATTTATGAATTATACTTATTCCTAAAAATGAATCATATTAATGTCACATTGTGCAAGCTCCTCAGGTAAAATTAGATTTTAGGAAAAATTGCAGAAAATTTAAACTCCTTAAAACATATCCAGTGCAAAGGCCAGTCTAGTCCACACATTATGGTGCTGTAATGTAAGCCAATATAATTTAAATAATAAAACATGCCTATATGATTCAGAGGAAGCTGAATATGTTTTATGTTTTAGAGATCTGACATCTAATATGCACATTCTGCAATATCAGACATTTTTCAAATCTTCATGAGATGGCAAAATATGTTAAGAGTTTATAAGTAGGCTTTTTTTTTTTTTTAAATAACTCACATTAACAGTACTACAGTGGCCAAAAAAGACAAACTATTATAATAGAAATCAATCTGATTAAAAAATTAAATATTCCAATTAACACTGAAAAAGTGTTTGTAATAACTATTTACAATTCGTCAATGATACCAGTGTATAACTTCACACAGTCAAAGTATACCACTTTCCAAGCAAATACCAATTCTTGCATCCCTGTTCAAGGATTTGCTAGTAGTATGTTGTTTATGCGCAACATATCAGTTTAAAGAAGGAGATCGATCTGTGGTCCACAGTAATTCTATATATGGCCATTTGGTTTGCAGGCAGCGTTTTACAGGAGTGTCGTCGGTCTGTAGCATTGGTTCTTCAAAACCCATAACAACTGCTGTGCCTTCTACATACATGACCTGTCAAAATAAAACCAATTATGTCAGCCTATGCTTATTTAAAAACTCTAAATTGAGATGATTATTTTCACGGGGTTTGGAGAGGATTTATACTTTTTTTTTTTTTAAATTACAAAAATAAAATCCATGAAGTTTTATATACTTTTTTAAAATGAAATTAGGTATGAAATAAAAAACGCCTAATCTCTTAGACTCAAGTGCCTGAAAACCCTGATCAGGCCATATTAATTCAACTGTTCACTTCAACAGACAGTAAAAGCCAAAGCTGAGAAGAAAAAAAAAAAAAAAAAAATCTATGAAATGCAATGCAAAAACTCTGTGACAACAGATCTTCTACTACTGTTGGCAAAGTTTGATGCTGTTATTTTATAAGAACAGTGTTCCTTAGAGTTAACTTTATGGGATTAATTTCCATAAAATAGAACTTCTGTTGCAAATTACCTCTATTTGTCAGACGGTATTTAAAATGCTATAGGCAGAATCCTCTGAAAACAAAAAATTGTTTAAATTTTCATTATGTATACATGTTTAATAGTAAAGATAAATGCATCTTTGAATATTTTTGCCTACATTTTGGGGTACGAAACTGCTGGAGGTTTCATAGGGGTAATTTTAAGGACTTAACTCCAAGCTATTCCGAAGTCTGAGTATATATATATATACACATACATTTTCTCAAAAAGTCTTCTTTAAGTAATTTTTGTTCCCTGTCTATTAATGTCTTATATTCTTCTACCCTAAATGCTAATTCAGGAACTAGCTTTCTTGGAAGTTGGGGTATACATGACACATGAAAATGCAACAGGTAATTTTTGTCCCCCACTAAGTGGTTCCAAAAAATACTGATTTTTTGATGCAAGTCCGGACTACTAAAATATTTCATAAAAAATTCCAAACATCTCAATTTAGATGCAGGGTTACTTATAGAAATTGCAGTTTGTCTGTGTTACAGCTCCATTTCCTTTACAGTTCAGATCCCACTTCTCACGGATAGACATGACAAGTGCTCTATTCAAAATACATAGCTTAAGAGATGCTGTCTAGCCAACTGATCCAGCATACTAGCTAAAATATGATAAGGAGCACAAAGCACTTTCCAATTTGAAATATATTATTTTGGAAGAAAATTATTGAAATAACAATTTTGTAAAAAGTCTGTTTCAAGTGAAAGTATTTAGCCTGTAACTATAGTCAGTTTTGCATATTAATTGTTACTAGGGCTAGATTTATGTTTCTTAAATCTCACCTTTTCATTATAGTTAGATTGCTTCAGTCCATTGTAATGGTAAACAGTGAATGACTCCGAAACCCTAGAGTCCTAGTAGAAAGAAGACAGTTAATTTCATGTGACATGTACATCATGCCTTGACAGACTCTTCTATTTACAATTCAACAGATGAATTTAAGCAGGAAGACTCAAGGAAATTGTAAGAAAGTGCCACTTTTTTAGGTGACATAATCTTGAAGATTTTGTTCATTTTACCTTTCTCATCAGAAATAAGAAAAAAGATGTTAGTAAATTAATGGGTTACGCCCTCAAGAGCAAGTAATGATTTTGTGTTCATCTGGCCCCTTTGAACTATAACTTCAGCACTAACCAGAAACTGGCCTAATTTTTGAAGTCAAACACCTTATGTAGTAGTCATATTCATGTGTATTTGTGACTGTGATGCTACAAAGTTAAATATTTACTAAGGACCAGATCCAATCAGCCAACCCTCCATTTAAGAGCTAAAATGTAATTTACACCCACACCTGCCTAACTGTAAACTAATTGTGAAGGCACCTGTTCTGCTGAGGCCTAACAGCAGATGTACTGAAGTTGTCAACCTTTACCATTCCAGGTGTTTAAATACTTTAGTCCTAAAAGGACTGAAAAGCTTTGCATTTCACTGAATCAGGAAATACAAATCAGGTGTAATATCATCTCTTTTATGCCTGCTGGACCAGGCTCCAAACAAAAGCTTATCCCTTTTTTAAGTACCTGGAGGTAAAGGGTGGAATGAGAAGAAATCTACTCAGGTTACAGTACATCCATCATATTATGAAAAGCCCTCATTCATTTTTCTCCTCTTAAATAATTCAAAACCCTTATCTCTGTATGGGTCTCTCACAGCAACCCAGGCTATTCAGTACAGGGTGGGTGGTGAAAAGGAAGATAAGCAGTAACTCTACTTACAGAAGTTGCTTCACAGAGATAAATAAAATCAAGCTTTGCTGGAAAGGAAAGAGGACACATTCTTTTCCCTGAGGAAAGTATGCTTGGCCTGAAGAAAAAGAAGTGCTGCTTTCTGGTTCCTGTCCCATGGATGTCAAGAATTGTGCAGTAATTGTTCCCTAAAAAAAGGGCTACTGGGGAATTCGAGTCCCCCTCTCCAGGTGACTGCCCTAAGCACTTTAGAGTCAGGCTTGCTATCTCAGACTGAATGATCTTTGAATATTTTTCTTCTAAGCCAACAGCTTTGAAAAGGAAAGCTGAGATACCTTCCTGCTTTTGAGGTGGAGTTTGGTACTTTCTAGGGGAATAAGAATGGGGTTTTAAATATTCTCAGCAAAGAAGGACTCTCATCTGTATCTCCTGAGCGCTAGCTATGTGTTCAAATGCTGTGTAAAGAGGAACATCAACAATTCCAACCATCACTGGCATCTGTTATTTCCTCACAGTATTTTAAGCAAAGACATTCATTTCTGCAGAATTTCACTTTCAGGAAGAATCCTGTACGAGGTGTCAATATGGGTAAGGGCTCCTGCTATCTGATCCACAGAGCACAGATTGGACAACACATTCTTGCTCTCAGCATTCATTCAGTAACTGATACTGGCAGGTTCCGGTCCAAAATGTGCTGATTGTTCAGGCTCTACCCTTAAGGCAGTAACACTTCCCATGTTTTGTCCTGGAGCCAGAGAAGGTTCAACAGCACAGGCAAAACTGAGTGGTAGGGAATCATGTGCAGCAGGGAATTAGTACTTGACAGATAGGCATTGACTTGGGGGCTCCAACTTTACAGCAGGTAGAGTTCCTCCACCAACTCTTAGGTGACTAAGGTGGGGAGATCTGCTCATGATTCCACCATTCTCCTTTCCTTCTTCAGTCAGTGATGCCCTTCAGCAACAGGCAACAGAAGCAGCAGCCCCATACGATGGCTGTTTTCTCCTCTGGCTGCCCATGACCCGCAGTACCAGACAGTTTAGGCACAGCCAATTACAGAGGATGTGCTTTGGCTTTCTGGACTTCATTATAAGCATCCGGTGCCTAAAGTTAAGCAACGGAGTCTTCCAGATTTGCAAGTGTAATGTAATTGTAAGTAAGACTAAATTATATTCAACTGTAAAGATATTTCCACTTCTGAATATACAAAGGAAAGGAAGAAGAAATAGTTTGCAAATATACAATGCAGATGCAAATCTGGAGAAAATGAACACTCTAACTCCTTCTTTTTCCTCTGGATGACGAATCATCTCTTAATTATATATTCAGTACCTACTACCTTTGGCAGTGCAGTTCTAGTGTCTTCTGAATGATGAGATTCTTTCATAGTACAGAATACTACACCCAAACAGTGCTGCACAACCCTTAACAAAAAGAGTGTTGCTGAAGGCATTTTAAAAATGTTAGTTTCCCATTTCCTTGGTTGTAAAAATTAAGCCCTATAGTTTCAATGACAAGCTACAAAAGCCTCCAAAGAATGACTCCTCTCAGCCCTTCTCTCGCCTCCACCAGCCTATCTTTTTGTCCCTGGGGAAACCCTCTCTTCTGCCAATACAAGCATTTGCATGGCCGTGGAACAAACCTCATAAACCTGCAAAGAGAGCTCTCATCTGGACCAGTTTCCTGTTCTGGTTTACCACATATCTGTACAAAGAGGTTCCTGGTGGCAGGAGGAAGGTTGCATGAGGGAAGGAAAATGTGACCCAGGGCAGAGAGAGAAGAGGACAGCAGTGTTCAGTTAACACAAGCTTCTCAGTTGTGGTGCTATCTTAATGAATATATGGAAAAGATTTACGAGTTTGAATATAATTTTCCATTACCCTGTCAGATCCTGACTTCCACATATGCTAAACATAACTCTAGCGTGACTTTTTGTTAAGCTGTCAAAAATTTTACATTGTTAGAGATATACATAAAAATTGTTTTAAATATATTTGTAACCTTTTCCCATTTGCTAGCAATTACAGCAGACATTTGCAATATTGATAAAAACAGTATGGTCATTTATTCTCAGAAATAACAAACTCAGATGATCTTTCTGAGTAGGGAACCAGTTCAATTTCATATGCAAAATGATTATATTTCCTGAAGTTAATTTTAGAACTTGGTGCTACTATGAAGTTTCCTTCCAGTGTAAAGCTGAGCAAATCACGGTCGCCCTACACAAAACAGAAGTCTACAGTTTGTTGTGTAATACAAGAAGTTGTTTGCTGGTCAGCTGCATCAATTAATGCAATACTTATTCTTAAAAACAGCTCTGTAATATTGATGGAGTGTTTAATGAATCTCAAAGACAAGCAGAATAGACAATGCTCTGCAGCAATAAAGCTATATTGATTACCTGCTCAGGGAAAAATTCTTGCAGAAAGGGACCCAGTAATATGATGCCCAGTCCTTCTGGGTCTAATTTGGTCTTCATGAGGTTTACACTATGACAAAAACATTGAATATAAAAGTATGAGTAAGACATTTTTATTCTTGCATGACTTAAGTTATGCTGTGCTACCACAGTACTGGTTGCCAAGTATAGCAATACTATTCTATTTTTAATAGTAAGTGACAGCTGCACCAGAATGGCATGCAAGTTGCCAAAACATGGCTATTTTTAAATAAAAGTAATCTGTTATTTTAAATTAAATAAGTGATAATTCTGAAGGACCACCATATTTGGTAAAATAATTTGAAACCCACATAATCTAACACCAGCTTTACAGCCCAAAAGGCATTTTGCTGTCTTGTGAGCATTCTTGAACTTAGATACGTAAAACAGTCATCTTTTGAACACAGCTCTGTAACTTCCAAATAACCTGGTTTTAAACAGAGATCTGAAAAGCCTCCAAGATTTTCTAAGTACACCAAAATAAAATTAAGTTGAACAGATAAATTTCTTATTTACATCATGTCCTCGATATCAAAGAAGCCAAAAACAATGAATAATGCAAATATTAACAATACTAATCTGAAAACCTTACTGCATGAATATGGTATCATTTCAGGTTACTACAAATGGATGGCAATTATAACTTTATAATTCTATTTAAGCAATATATTTCTACAGGCATCAGATTGCTTAAACATTTATTTGCATCTACCTATCTTTTTGCCTAAGTTACAAGTTGTACCATACACAAGAATGTCCTCCCTGGGTCAAACCAACAGAGCGTCTTGCCCAGAATCCTGTTTCTGACATTGGTCAGTAGTGGATGCTTACGACAGAGTACAATAGGGCAAACATACAGTGATATCCTTAGTTTACCCTCCCCATTTCCAGCAGTCTGCTGCTCAAAGACATCTTCAGTGAGAGGCAGTATCTAAAACACAAAGATACATATTTTTTCTTTCCATGCATGTGCCTAATTGGCTTTGAACCCATATACACTTGTGGCATTTAATAAACTCCACTCACAAAATTAAAATTAAACTCTAGATTCTGGGAATAAGTATCTCCTCCTGTTTTGAACCTGGCACCTGGTAATTCAGTCTGATGACACATTTTTGTATTGTGAAAAGTAAGTAATAATCATTCCCTATTTATTACGAAACTCCTGATTTTAGAAACTTCTCTTACATGCCAATGGTTGTCTCTCTCTGCCAGGTTGAACAGTCCTAACCTCGTTTTTCCTTGTACTAATGCCATTCTGTACCTTTGGTTAGCCTTGTTGCCTTCCTGATACCTTTCTACAATGTTCTTTTTTAAGATGGAGTAAAACATCATACATTTACACAATGGCATAATTCCTAGAAATCCTACTCCATATGTGTGTCTATTATGGAGTAACAGTTTAAATCTAAGATCTGTTTCCTGAAGGGTAATATGTAGTTCACAGCCCAACAATGTGTATGTAAAAATCAGGATTGTTTTACCCCTGTGCAATCAATCTGTGCTTACTGTACTGAGACTTTTCTGTTACCCTATCTTCCAATAACTTCTGCTGCTTTTCCACATAATTTTTTAATACCTTGAATACTTTTCTATCAGCAGCAAACCATCACATTAAATGCTACATTAAAATCCTCATTGGTGCCACGGCAAGCTTCACAGACCTAATACAAATTCCTGTAAAATTTCTCCAGTGATCTGCCTCCATTAAGAAAAAATGACATTTTTGTCCTTTGATCAGTTTTTTATCTACAAGAAAACCTTCTTTCTTATCCCACCTTTACACATGAAACATTTACATGTGAATTTTCCCCAGATTGGCCTTCAAATCCTCTTCTAAGTACTGTTGTCCATTTGTCATGTTCTTATTCTGGTACTGTCTGGTACCAGGACAGTTTACAGTGATATGTAACCTAAAATCATGCAGCAACTTCATTCTGATGTTTCTTCAGAATTTTGGGGTTTTTACTTATCTTGACACTTCAGACTCTTAGTTACTCTGACCACCCGTAAAAAGGCTTAAGTGTGGAAACCTCCCCGTAATCTTCCCCAGTGAAGATGAGAACTACTCCCTAGCATCTTCCCCAGTGAATATGCAGAAGAATTCACTACGCTTCTTACTGACTTTGTATACTTCTTAATATTAGGCATCACTTTTCAGAACTACACACCTCTTGCAAGTCTCCTGGTTCTGATGGACTTGAAAAAAATACTATGAACTTTTATTTTAGAACTTTGCAGAGTAGTCTTCAGGGGATTTTAATTCTGCTTTATTTTGTATTTACATTTAAAGTTCCATTATTGTAGGTTCTTCCCTATTTTTTTCATGTATGCACTACATTTTCCTTTCAGAAGACAGTCTTAGCTTCTCATAGCTGCTTCTTGCCACCTAGGCCTTTAACTACCTCGGTCTCTTTTGCTGGGGGCTGCAGGCAGATGTCTTTCTAAAGTCTTTTAAATTATTGTTGCATATAAGCATTTTATCCTTTTGGCTACCACTTATGTGTCTCTTATGTGTCTTCATTATCGAGTAGCTTCCTTTCTTGGTCCTAAAATAGCACTAGTAGTAAATTATTTTTGTTTCTGCCTCAACACAGACAGAATAAGTTACACAATTCTTAAGAGAATGGATCTGTTAAGGCCCTTGGAAGAGGAATTTTAAAATTAATAAAACTGAATGTGATATCCTATAAACCATGTTAATTTAAGATCTTAAAAAAAAAATAACACTAGTCAAGTGAAACTACAACTGAGGATTTGCAAGCTACTGGACTTTAATCCTTCTATTGCTCATTCTTACTGCTCTCAAAGTACAAAATTTAAGGTATTTCAGTAGCTGTCCGAAACCTGCTCAAATTCTTGAAATGCTGTAACTGAGTTGTAAAAACATTGTGTTGGTAAACAGAACCAAGGCAGATTTAAGTAAAGGTAATTTTGAGAATGCACTTAAAATTATGTAATAAAATTAAAGCAAGCTATATACTCACTATTAAAATACAAGAACTGTTCAAAAATGCAGAGCCATACTAAATTTTTAAGTATGAACAGTGTACAAAATTCAATCAATAAAGCAGGAGGGGAGATGTAATAAAATTTGATTGCTGTATGTTTCAGCTGAGGCTTTTTCATCCAGCAAACAGATAATGCTGTTCAGTGCTACTGCTATTGCAGCAGAGCTACCGAAACAAACAAGTGTGTGTACACACTTCAGTCACTTCAGTATGAAGTCCAGCATCTTAACTGAAGAGGTTATGAATGTTGGGGCGATGATACTGGTGACCTTTGTACAGTTATGGCTGAGAAGTGGGTGGGGACAAAAGCCTCCAGCACTGGTCAAATAGACAGATAGAATAAAATGTTTTAAACAAGCTAAACCTAGATTGACAGATGTACTGAAATCTGTGCCCTGAAGAACATCAGATGGTTTTTAGAAACAAAGTGACAAAACAAACAAAAGACCTGTGTTCTCAGATGTATTTACTAAAAGACTAGAAAATTTTACTAAAATGACATGCAATGGCATTAAGAGCCTCAGATGAGATGATAAAAGTGAATTTCCATTTAGTTCTTCAACTAAAAAATGTAAATAGTACACTTGGAAGCAATGCCTTTAATTTTACTTAAAATCAAATGAACAAACAAAAACCAAACAACCAGAAAAGCCTGTATGAAATTTGTTATTTATACTCATGTTCCACATTAAACAGACAGAACATCTAGAACTAAAACAGAGTAGGTCCTCAAGACAGTAATATTAGACTACATTTTTATTTAAGAGATGATTCAAGACTTAATATTTCATGGTTTGATCATGGCTTTTCAATATAGCAGGCCTTCTGACTGGCTATTCCTACACCAATTTATACTCCATGTGCTATGCACAATAAAATAGGCCAGGGCTATGGCACAAACACCCTGAAGGCCAAACAAAAAAACTGCTGAATACAGAAAAAGGATTTTCACAGATTTTTTTGAGGCAGCAGAACAAAAAGGCCAAAAGAAAGGTTCTCAGACCTATTAAACTAAAGCTTTTTTATTTCCCTCCCTTTAAAAACATCTTCTGCAGACTTCATGACTTATTCACATAATATGAATGTTAGCCTTTTTGTCTTCTATTTTTTGTTGGGTTTAGTTTCCTGGGTGTCTTGATTTCAATTTTCACTCCTATTCTCCAAAGGCAACAGCTCAGTAAACTTTGTTGTACTTTGTAACATTTCAAAGGACAGAAAATGGCATCAATCAAACTTCAGATGGCTGTAGTAAGTAAACATGCAGTCTCCACAGCCATTCTACAGGAACAACTGATTTAGACCCCAGTAAACTAGATCATATGTTTACAAAAGAGCAGAACCATTACTTGGAGATGTAGAAAAGTACAAGCACATAGCTCTCCTTTCTGGGTTAAGCATTTAGTGTCAAAACATGGTAAGATTTGACACCAAAGGTTAACTGCTGCCGCTGAATCTTAGTCTTGTTTGTCCACATAAAATCTAAAATAAATTACCTTTTTTCATTCACTAGTTCTAAGTTTAATCCTAGGAATCAAGGTTTCATTTCAGGAAACAAATTACAATTATAAACACTACAAGGTACTGAGTGTTGGTGGAAACAAAAGTGTAACTGAAGCAGTTTCAGCTTCAAACTCAACAGACAGATCCAGCAGTAATCTAATGCTCATCTGCCCATGAATACCTTGTCTGTTTGGCTCTTTTATCACACAGTTTCACCCTCATTAACATACAGAAATATATTCATGACTATCTCCTCAATATATAGTAATGCAGTAGGTCTGAGGGGTTTTTGGCTTCTGGTTATCACTACCAAAGTTAGAGACATTTTAGTTTGATTTCCTTCCATTTAATTGAAAGCTGACTTGAACACTTCAAAATAACATTCTGTGCCCAGAATGCAAGCCAGAAAAAATCTAGGAAAAAACCCCTGAATTATAATTAATGTGTGGTTAATTGTTACATCTGTAGTATTTAATTATACTTACTATTCAGGATCTGAAACAAGGTCCAGAGCCTTCATTACATCTTCTAGCAGAGTGTCAGGTATAAAACCATTATCTGAAGAAGTAGCAAAGCTTTTCATTAGGAAGAGAAAAAAAATACTTTCCAGGAGTACAAATTTTACTCAAAAATACCAATACTGCTTATCTTTCTCTCTAAAATTTGCAAACAAATGGTGGGGTTCTAGAAGGAACATAGTTTTCAAACACTTTTCTCCCACTTTAAAAAGCAATGAGTGAAATACAGATAGTTCAGTTATCAGTCATACACTTAGAAGTCTAATACTTGCTAAGAATTCAATCTTTTGATACCGATCTCCATCTCCACTAGATACCTTGGGATAATAACCGTTCATTTTTACCCCTTTGATTAGTTAAAATAGTACCTGAATGTTAGACATCCTCTGTTTTCCAAAACATCAGAAATTCTCTGATTACGCCATATACATTCAAGAACAAAATTTCATGAAGAATGCAAGCATAATGGATCAGTTACTTTATGAAAATGTAATAAAAGAGAAAGCAGATTATATTTAAGCTTGATGTTAATTACAACCAACATTACAAGGTTAAAAAAGCTTATGCTCTAAGAACTCTATTTCCTATTGTACAATGTTGTACTCAACTGCCCTTACTACAGAATTCTCAGAAAGCTTCTCTATGTCACTTGCAGATTGACTATTGTATTGAAAGTTTATTGTCTCAAGTACTAAGTACTTCATTCCTCTCTTAATCAGCTCAGGTATAAACAGCGTATTACCCTGGCATGGAATTTGAAATAGATTTGAAAGTGCAGTATTTGGAACAAATTTTAGAAAATAACAGTCCTATTTTTAAAGATACCCTGTACAATGCAGTATTCATTACTATTTAGAATTTGTCTCTACTGAGTGATTACATTTCAGTTAAAAAAAATTTATTTCAGCAAGAAGCACAGCCCTTACCCTCTGGGTCATATGTCTGGAAAACCCTCCTAGCTTGTTCTGAAGGCGCTTCAGGAGCAACAAGGGCCATATCCTTAGGAAAAAAAAAAAAAAAAAGAAGAAAAATAAAAGAAGAAAACTTTCAGAATATTCTTAATTCAGATACTTAATTCAGATACCAGATATTTAGCCATACTACAGAGGTTTGAACCTTAATGAAAATTTAAAGACAACAGAAGAAAAATTAAGGTAATTTGGCAATATTTCTGATACTGACATAAAATGATCACGAAATATGTTAAAGATTATTCCACAAATTTCTAGACAAATTCTATGTCTTTCATGCAGATGTCATGGCACAAGAGCTAATTAGAGACTACATGTATTATGTGGAGATTTATAGTATTGTTCTTTATATCTGAAAACACACATGCGTACCAGTGAAATTGAGTGTACTATGCATACATTGAAACGTGTAAAAAACATTTAGATAAAAAGCTGTGAGAGAATGTTTTGAAGTCCCTTTCACAGACTGTCAGAACACAAATTTGTTAGCTACATGAAAATGTATGATTCCAATAGTAGCTACTGCAATGCTTTTATTTATCTGTGACTTTTAAAATCTGAAATACAATCATGCTTTCCAAAACCTATGTGGAGGCACATGTCCACCTCCTACTGTAAAACCAACAAAAAGCATAGCCCTCTGGTTTTATGTTAAAAAAATTATTATTAAAAAAAGTGAAATTGGTAAGCTATTAATGGGAAATGAAAGGTAGCATAAAGGGTAAGAAATGCACCTATTCGAGGCACCCTTTAGTTTAAAAAGATACATAAACTTGATGTTCAAATAGAACATGAAACTCCAAAAACTGCTTGGTAGGAGTACTTAAAATCTCTTGCAAATTTACGATCACCTATGTTGTTTTTCACATAGAAAGGAAAATTAAAAACTTGCTCAAAGGCAAACACTGCATTTAACAATACTTTCTATAGTTTTTCTTTCTGCCAAAGTGAAAATGTAATGTTACCTGATATACTCTGAACAGTAAACACAAAACCCTAGAAATAGAATCACTGACATTGCTATGAACAATAAACACAAAACCCCAGAAACAGCAGCACTGACATTACTCTGAATAACATTAAACCCTGGGAAACTTGCTTTTGTTCATACTGTATTAAGTAAATTGATTTGTTACAAATCAAAAAGTTACCTGAAACTTTTATAAAGTATACATAATCTTTTTATGTCCAGTTCTGCTTTCTGAAGATGACTTTGATTTTCTTGAAAGAGAAAATCACGAGAACATCCCCTCATTATACCTGTATATGCTAACAGTGAACGTTGGTCTAAACTGTACAAGTCCGTAGTACTTCATTTACAGGAAGGCACAGAAGAGAAAATCAGAAAATGTAGAATTAAAAGATGCATAAAGACCTACTGTTCTTTTAACAGATCAAGAGAACTGCTTCATGGAAAGAACAAAAGCAAATAAGACATTTGACCAGAATTCCACTCTTATCCAGTTTCTTCTAATAGCTGACTCCAAATCAGCCAAGAATTTAAAGTATACACCTGACGGCATCCAGCATACACTTAAAAACTTTCCTGAATAAAAGCCAGCTGCCTAGGACATACCAACAGGGATAACACGGAACACAACATACACTTAAAAATAACAGACAACAGTTTTACTTTGAAGAGATGAATGATGCAGCCATTACTGGGATAAGGTGCGCACAGCAGGGGTTAGAGAGCTCCCCTCATTTCCATGTACAGGAGAGATAAAAATTTGGTATTATATAGGATTGTATTAGACAAAAAGCTAGGGGACATCTGCCCTGTCTTCCAAGGCTCTAGATCACCAGCCTGTTAAATACTTTCACTCCTGTGGGCTACTCTGTTGCCGCTTGAGCACAATGCAAACATTTACATTATGATCAACGCAGTGCATGGAGAGAAGGACTGGGCTTCAATTTGCTGTGACGTATTAAGGGGAGCCCACACTGCATCTTTACTGGCAAAGAAGTTTGTGCCAAACATCAGTCCTAGAAGCACGCCTTGCAGAAACAGAGCCAGTTGCTGGAAGCCCTTGTGTCCACACTGCAGGTGAGACACTCTGAAAGGCCTCCTCATGTGCAACTTCAAGTGCTGGCTCCACCAGGAGAGAAACATCTTTCAGCACATCTGTAGGACACTTAATTGCATACAGAAGTATTCCAACTCTAGATGCAAGGAAAATTTGCACCAAAAAGCAGTTCTCCAACATGCTAAACCACTAATATAGATGAATCTGATAAATCATGTCTGCTAGAATTCTTCTAGCTCCTGAGGTGTGATAGACTGATCAGGACTAAATTACTTCTGGGTCCAGCCTACTGCCCCTCTTGCAGCACAAGTGCCACCTTTCAACGCGATTGGGGCTGCTGGGCCCATCTTTAGGTCAGAAGCAGGCTTGCCTGCAGATTAACTCCCATACTATGGGACTTCTCCAATCACCCTGAGAGCTCCAAGTGAGAAAGCATATGGAAGAAACTAATTTAGGAGAGGTCCCGTTGTCCTAGACTATCCTAGTGAGAACAACTTATAATTTGCTTGCTTAATATACTGGAAATATAAAACCTAGATTTTTATATTAACTCAGATTCATAATAATATAATTTTAAGGATCCATAAATTGGACTAATTTGGTACAAAACCACTATTTAATGAAAAAGATTCCAGTGACTTCATAAATGAATGATAACTAGAACACTTACAGAAAATCAATGCTTTAACAGTCTATCTTCATGTTTACATATGTTCTAAACTTTTTTTTAAAGTATTTTGCAGATAAAGAGACCATACTGCTTTGATAACATCTACAGCTCAACACAAAAAGTTTCATGATGCCAAACAATAGAAGTTGTGCATTTGTCAAATATATACTCTGTTATAATGGGTAACACGTGATTATTTACAGTACATACATACACTGTCAAATTTGATATGTGACCAACTTTTAAAAAACCTGGAATAGTCCAGAAATGGAAAAGTTTCATTTTGGGTGTGGGTATTACAAAACACACTAAGTAGGAGTAGATTTTCAGTATCAGTGAATTACAGTAAACTATTTGAAATAGTTCTCAGTTTAAAAATCAATGATGCCATAGCATATAGAGTTTATCAACAGCAAAATGATCAGTGATTTCAATATTCAGGATTTGACTCCAAGGAGAGGATATTTTTATGGTAGGTTCTTATTAAGGAATTAGCAGCTCATGAAGCCAATGTAACAAGGCAAAACTCTTACCATTTCCATGGTATGGAAGGATATAACCAAAGTAACTTCCAACTGCACAGACATATTACTTCAAATGCAAACTACATAGTTCTACTTTGGTTTACTAGTATGTAGTTTTCATAAAATCTTAATGTAATCCAAGATTAAAGACTATCATTTGCATTGTCCTTCCTCCTCCCAAATCATCTTGTTAATGTAGTACTTTTCACAGTTTCATGTGACACAAACCAGTTTTTTAAAATTAAGTCTTCTGCAACTACTAACAAGTATTTTTTTTGATACTCCAATTGCAAACAGTGTGTATTTCTGTTGGCATTTTAATTTTCCAGGTCCTTAGTTATTTCAGTGCTTGTGTACATGGGAAGAACTTAAGAGTCACTGAATGTATTACCCAAAACTGAAAATTCTCCATGTCTTTCAACTGAATTTTTAAATATGGTAAAGCCTCCCAATTATTACACATTAATGTTTTTTATTATTTAAATGTGATTTACCTATGATTTAAGCTAGTCATTTCAGGAGGAAATTAGAAAATTACCTGCCTTGGAGAGATGACCAAAAAGCCCACCCCTCTTTCAAAATAATTCTAACTTTACACTGAGACTGTCATCCTGTAAACAGTTAAAAATACAAGATTTGAATCCTGCATATACAAATCCCATGTATCCTCTAACTTAACACGTCACTCATTTCTAGTATCCAGAAAACTTTAAAAGTACAACTAATCCATATATTTGTATCTAGGGGAAAAAAAAAAAAAAGTAACATACCTCCTTCAGGTGGCAAAGCTGAAAACATGACAAACATCTAACAAAAACTTACTTCAGCTGCCCAAGCTGATATTTCATCATATGTGCCAAAATATATCCACCACAGCCTTATGAATTGTATTTTGATGTATCTCATGCATTGAAAAAGAATCCCATCAACAGTTAATTATAATAACTATTTCCAATACTAAGTACAACATGTCCCAAAGATTGTGTTTCACTCATCGGCTCTTGTGATACACAAACAAGTCATTTTATATTACTTTGAAAAGTTATTCTCATCAGTAGTACCAGTTATTTTAAGATCCCATGTTTACTCTGAGGCAAAAAATACACTTCGTGAGTTTCAATGAAAACATTCTAGTTTTCATTCTACAAATCAAAAGCAGAATGTAAGGGCTAAGCCACACTGAAATCCTTGCTATGAATTTTTACAAAGATCCCAGCCTGAAAGATTTCTTGCCCTTGAAAATGTAATCTGTTCATATATTGACTGCTTTACAGTTCTATACTACCACTGTTGAGTGATATGTGGAAGAGTATTGTAGCACTTTCATCTTAAAAAACTGCCTAAAGACAATATAGAAACACTGATAATTTACCAACTATTTAACTTGCTATAATTTAAACAAATCTGCAAGAATGAAGATTATTTAATCCAGTCTTGTATTACAGAAAAAAGTATGTATCTTTCAATGCTATAATCAGCGTCTTTCAAGCCACCAAGTTTTCCAAAACGGTTTCCTAAGAAAACAAGGTTGATAGGATCTCTGAAATAGATTCCCATCTCTCTAGCTGACTTCTGAATCTGTTGTCCAATTTCAGTTTTATCTGACAGAGGGAACAGAGTCTCACAACTGGCTGTTGAAACTGGAAGCCAGGCAGGGAAGAAAGGTATAGGTTTGTGTGCCCACCGAGAGGGAAAGCAGAACACTGCTGTGAATCGCTGCATTTGGCAATAGGTAGACAACCAACCATTCAAACACTGCTGGCACAAGCCCAGACTTGTGCCTACATGCCTGGCTCTTGTCAGGAGT